GTTAATAAACAGGTTGAAAAGCATGGGTCCCAGCACAGAACCCTGAGGCACACCGCTAATAACACTAGCCCAGTCTGAAAGGGCGCCATTTATTGATACTCTCTGTACCCGTTCCTTTAGCCAGTTCTCTATCCATGTACACACCCTTCCGTCTATGCCCATGGCTCTTAGCTTGTGTAGTAAGCGTTTATGAGGTACCGTATCAAAAGCCTTAGCGAAATCCAAATATACCACATCCACCGGCCTCCCTCCATCCAGATCTCTACTTACCCCCTCGTAAAAAGTCAGTAGGTTAGTCTGACAGGAACGGTCTTTCCTGAACCCATGCTGATTATCACTAACTATACCATTAGCCTGAACAAATTCTACTAAATAGTCCTTAATCATTCCCTCTAGCAGTTTGCACACTACAGATGTAAGACTAACTTGCATCCCTAGTATCTATTTTTTAATTGCATACCACTGATATCACCCTGCTCTCTGTTTGGAATTATTTTTTTTTGGGTATTACTACATGTAGGGCCGTCCCTATAACGAGGCAGCTTGAGGAGGTGGCCTCAGGCGGCATCTCACTGGGTCATGCGCTGCCCCCTTTCTAGCCAGAGCGTCCCAGGTTGGTAAGAGCTCTTTCGTCCGGTGTCCCACCCAGCTCACTGACGTCACTGGTTGCCACTGGCTAAGTTCATGAAAATGCAGATCTGTCACACGGATAAAGTAGGTGTGACGCACACCCTGGCCCGAACCCGGTGTGCGTCAATCACACGTGACTTTACTCAGCTCTGAACCGAGCGAGTAGGACGTGGCGATACCACTGTCAGCCTAACCCTGCACAGAGACGCAGCTCGCGGGGCAACAATCGCAGGCCAGCAGACTCATTGCACTCATTAGTCATTGGTAGAGTCTGATTTCTGTATTCAGCTGTTGTTCCTTGATGTAAAATCTGCAGTGCTCATACACAAATGTGATGTCTGTGTCCATGTTTTTTCTCAGGTTCAGAAAGAAAACATCGCTCATTAATAAATCCGGAGCAGAATCCTACACAGAAGGTGAGATGTGCTACAACTGTGCAATTACATTGTAGTGTGTGTATAGATTTGGATAGGAAAGGGTTAAAACCACCACCAGTTCATTGTTTGCTGTGTATGTGCTTCCTATTAGAATTTTACATTATAAATTGGTTTTGGATAGAGAAGGGTTAAAACCCCGCGCAACTTGTTTCCTGTTAACTTCCTTTTAGGGAGATTTCACTTCCTCTTTGTTGCAACGGGAAGCGAGAGGCAATACCCCCCAGGGGCTCTAACCTCTTCTCACTCTATACAAGACTTATAAGAATAAAAAAGTTACATATACTTTAAATACAGTCTTGAAGGACAACTATGGTGAAAAGTGTTGTATTCTAATACGTGTTGTATATGTATATGTTGTATATGTTGTATTCTAAGGCCCCGTTCACATTGCACGATTCGCAAATCGCGCGTTTGTCGCGCCATTTGCATTTTGCACGATATCGCGCAGATGCTTGCATTGAGCAAGCTAGAATCGCGGCAAAATCCCCTCCAAAAAGGGTCCTGCTGTAGCGACGCACGACCCGCGACAGCGGGACCCTTTGCCCCATTGAGATGCATTGAAGAGCGATATCGCGCGGTAAATAGCCGCGATATCGTGGGAATTACCGCGCGATAAATCGCTCAATGTGAACGGGGCCTAATAGTGTTCAGTAGAGATGCACCGATACCGAGTATTTGGGGCGTATTCACTCGTAGTCACTCAAATGCGCCGATGCCTAGCCCGATACCCCAACTTCCGGTATCAGGAAGCCGGGTGGCGAATCATTACACGATGCTCGGCTTCCTGATTGGTCGGGAAGCTGGCTCCATGCTTCCTTGTCACCTGGTGACGAGGGAGCATGGCAACGGATTCCCTGCTTATCGGGAAGCCGGGTGGCGAGTCTTCACAAACCACCCAGCTTCCTTAATGGGACTTCCGGTGTCAGTATTCGGTATCGGCAAGTACCCGAAAAATGGAGGGGAGAGAGTAGAGCGCTGACCGGCGCAGGACTGAGGATCAGGGAGTATGCATTTTTTTTAAATTTGGCCCCCTCTAGACAAAACAAGCACTTAACCGTTGTTGTGTGGGGGTAGCCCCACTGCAAAAGGGTGAGTTTTTTTGTTTGTTTTTTTACATTCCCGGAGTTTTTCTATAAATGATCACATCTCGGTCTCATTACAATGTTGTCTCTTTGATGTTGCAGTGGAATTGCACGCGGAGGTCTGCTATGCCGAGTGTTTATTACAGAGAGCTGCTCTGATTTTCCTGCAGGTTTGTGTTCTGTTTCTTCTTCATGGACTCTGACTTAGATTACCTCTTAAAGGCTGAGTGTAATGTAGATTCTGTAAATACATACAGTAAACTCTCAGTTATCCGGGAATTCAACTAACCAGAACTCTTGTGTAACGAGAAAAAAAAAAATCCCCTGTGTACTCATTGTTCTGCTGATCTCCGGCATGTCCTGGAAACATCGTGTGGCTATTTGTCTTTAATTTGCTTTTGATTACTGCATTTCAATAATAAAATGAAGTCAATACAGAGTTTATGGGATGGTATAGTATGGGGTACGGCATTAGTTACACCTAGTCTTATTAGTAACTCTCAAGCAACCAGCAACTACATTTATCCGGAATCTACCAATCCCCGTGGATGCCGGATAACGGGGAGTTTACTGTATTATGCGTTATTGCTTTCAGCCAATAGGGGGAAAAAACAAATCTAATTCCATCCGATTGGGAAAGTAGAGATGATGTCATTGTGTGTGGGCAGACTTTCCAGACATCAGAATGATGACGGTAAAGTCAGTTTTTACACAAAATGTCACAGCTGCTATCCAGGGAGAGCTGAGACAGGAGGGAGGAACTGATGAAGAGAGTTCAGTGGTCGGTATGCAGAGCTACTGTTAAGATGGCCATTTATCTTAAAGGAGTTGTAAAGTCCCAGCGTACACTCTCCTGTTATGACATCAGCATTGTAATAGGAATACACCATCTACAGGGACTTCTGTGCTGGATTAATCTAAGAAAACTGGGTGTTTCTCCTTCCAGCTGCTCACTTAAATTGGCTGCATGAGCCTGCATTGATATCATTCAAATATGTGAAGCTGCGCAATCACCCAACAAGTAAAACAAATATGTGCAAAAAACAAATATTATAGTGAGCAATACTATTGTGAAAAGCATAGTAATGTATTGTGACAACACCGGAATATCCCGTCACTTTCAGTTCTCTCTCTTCATACAGGATGACAACATGATCAACTTCATTAAAGGTGGGATGAAGGTTCGGAACAGTTACCTGATTTACCGGTGAGACACGTTCCTGCCTTGTATGGTGGTGGTTGTATGATGCAGTTTCCATGACCCTCCCTTGAATAGCACTAACTCAGGGGTGGACAAACTATTATGGAATTCAGGAACCAGTCCGTCCAATCCAGGAGCCAACAGGATTTGTTTTAGGAGTCCGCTCCATTGACAACAACTAGAGAGAACCTCAAAAGTTGGGTGCCAGCTGTAACTTTTAAGGAGCATTGGCTACCTGGCTCCGGGGGTTTGTTCTGGCACTGCACTAACATCTCATGTCATAAAGCCGTGTTCATTAGTAAGATATCATAAGTAACACAATGGTTGTTTCAATCACAGTCGAGATTAAGGATCCCTGCAATGTTTGGGGATGTGCACATGGGACTTTGGGTCATTCATTGTACATAGAGTTTGCATATTCCATAGGTCTAGGTATATTCCGTAGGGTCGTTCACAACCCCACCCCTGAGGAAGCTTGCAGTCTAATGTCACGGTCTACTAGGGGGAGTTGGTCAAATACACTTGGGCTTTTTTTAATCTTAGTGTTTTTAACATTTGTTCTCTGCCCTGAGAGTCCAGCGATTGGTAGGTTATGGCTTAAGGGGCCATAGGCATTCAAAATTTTGCTGGTACCTCCACTATTAGATGAAGGGAGCCAGGAAACCCTCAGGCCACAAATCCAATTCTGATTTCATCCTCTTCATATTGCGTAGATATGTGACACCGAAATACCCGGTCACTTTCAATTCTGTCTCTCCCTTCATACAGTGTGAGAACATGATCAACGTCATTAAAGTAGGGATAAAGGTTCGGAACAGTTACCTGATATACCGGTGAGACCGGGACCTGTCACACCGGTATATCAGGTATCTGTCCCAAACCAAACCTTCATCCCTTGGAATGAAGTCAGAGTTGGATTCCTACAACCCCCAAGCCATAAACTACCATTGCTGGACTCCCAACACTGAGAACAAATGTAAAAAACCAAAAATATAAAAAATAAAAGCCTTATGGTATCTGACCAACTCCACCTAGTATACAGTCACTGAAGACCTTGCAGTGTTTGTGTATGTGCCCATGGGACCTAGTCATTCATTGTACATAGAGTTGGCATATTCCATAGGGCTTGGTATATTCCGTAGGGTCTATCACAACTCCACCCCTGAGGAAGCTTGCAGTCTAATGTCACGGTCTACTAGGGGGAGTTGGTCAGATACCATTGAGCTTTTATTTTATTCTTCTTATTTTTTTTAATTTGTTCTCCGTGTTGGGAGTCCAGCGATGGTAGCTTATCACCGTAGGAAAACTCTGCAGCTCCCCTAAGTAGAGAATAGAAGTATCGCCTACACCAAAGAACCCCTGCCAGCAGTGAAAGTGCATCTATAGCCAAAACTAGTTTTGGACAGAGTGGGGAAGGTCTAGAGCCCTTGTCAGGTTTTACTTTTATTAGGAGTTCCATTAGAGAGATTTCCCCTCACTTCCTGCTTTGGGTACAATGTTTTACTGGACAGGAAGTGAAGGGAAATCTGAAACGGGAAAAGGAACAACTATAAAAAGTTGGCAGAGGTTCCAGCATTCAGCCCCAGAACAATCACATCATTCTGTGTCGGAGTTTCTTTGCCAAGAGCATGTAGGTCCCGCGGCGCAGCGACCAGATCCTGGCAAGAAACTTCTGTGAGCAAGAATATTAAAGAGGTAACGCACCGAAACATGGGAAGAACATACAAAGGGAATCCACATAGTGAGAGTAGGGAGTTAACCTTGGGCTCTATTCATTTTGAACTGAACACTTTACAATGCTATTTTTTTCTCCTTTCTACTTGTGATCCGGCGAATCTGTCAAAATGAAATACGACCATTTTATATTTGTATGTGTTTATCTTATCTATTTATATTGTCATAAGAAAGGTCAAGGTGCTTGTTCCCTGTGTAAGTTGTATTCCTGTCTGGTTTCAGAGATCTGAACACCATCATGCAGTCAAACGCCTTCCAGAAGGGCCAGTCACATGCACACCTACAAGGCGGCGTGTCTTTAGGTATTGGCGCATTTAATCTGGTGAGTTTAAGCCGAGAAATATTTCTTTATAGTATGGGTAGGCAAACGCCAGGCCCTCAAGCTGTAGCGAAACTACATATCTCATCATTTATTTTCCTCTGGGAGTCATGCCTGTGGCCAGGGCCGTCCCTAAAATGAGGCAGTTAGCAGCTTTTCAAAATGTCCTTTGCTTTGTGATATGTCGGTGTGCTGGTGACTCTTCTCTACATTGCTTGTGACTGCGACTCCATCCGCTAGTCCCTGCAGCACCCGCCACGTACATTGGGATCTACCGGTCAGGATTGCAATGGGATGTGTGCAATATGTCTTGCACACATCCCATCCCATCATAAAGAACAACACGCCCTGTTGTTCTTTATAGCTATATAGCGTAAGAACAGTGACACCACAACAAGAGGCTGCAGATGTGACTATCCTGCGCCGCTGTTCCATCTGTCATGGCGGAACCCTGTATTGTATTTTTCAAATAAAGATTTTGCATACTGAATTTTTGTTAATAAAAGTATTAATTTAAAAAATGTCACCAAACCATTATAATTTCATTGGGACTTTCCTCCCATGGTGCCGACCAGTTCTAGATGGGGGCTGAGCAGGAGAAACTGCATTCCCCAGGCAGTGAGGAGGTGGAGGGGATCACCAGAGGAACCTCATTGTACATCACACAGGATCTGAATTGGGAAGCTGCCAGGATACATATATCACACATATATCACACAGGGCTGCCTTCACCCCCTTCACCTAAATAAAATAAATTGGCTTGAGTGTAGATTATATGTTTTATCTGAGAATAATTTTGTTCCACTGCAATCTCTAGTCCCGAGTCTAATCTTAGCTTGTTCTTTCTATGCTGCTTATGGAGATAGGATGTTATAAGGTATTTATTAATTTGCCGTGGATGTCTTTTTGTGAGATTATTGTATGTTTTATTGATATATTATTATATATTTTTAGAATTTTACAAGAGAACCCATCTGATATGATATATAGAGACTCTCTACCGGTTTTTGTTGGCCCCCTTGTGCTCCCAGGAAGCCCCAAGACCCTGGGAAGCCTAGTGCTGGAAGTCCTCCGACTCTGACAAAAGTTTAGGATTCCCATACTAGGGTTGGAGGCTTCGAAGAGATGGAAAGGTCCCGGCAGGCACCTTGGTGAAACCTGTTTTTCAGGGAGGGTGCTGGATATTGTGAGTAGAGTGTAAGAGTCGCTTTACAATACTTCCAGCAAATACAATTAGATTGTAGTGCAGAGGATGGTTGAGCCTTTGCCTAAAGCAATCCGTGAGAATTCTACTGTCATTTTTTGTTGTTGTTAGTGCTGGTTAGGAAATGAAAGTTAACACTTGGCACCGCTGTGATCCAAATGTTAAATCTTGCAAGTGTGGCTTTTTTTTATTTTGTACACTCCATTCAGACATGAAGCATTTGCAGGGTGCTGGCCCTGAATGTGAGCCTATGAATATAGAGGATGAGTGTTCCCAGCTCCGCCTTCTGCATCTTTGAGATAAGTAACACGTTCACTTTGTAGCCCACCTCTTCAACTACTAACAGTTATGCTACCCCTCACACCGTGATCACATCTTGCAACTCTGAAAAGAAAACCCTGTGTAAGCTCTACATTGGAGCTCACAAAAGGCTAAGGTTCTACCCCCATGTGACCGTGATTGGCGGCTCTGGTCATTGTACATTGCATAGTGGGTGCAACGGGAGATGGTCACATGCTCCTCGATACCCACAAGTACTAACAATTTCCAAGGGCTCCAGCTGGTGAACAAGGCAGCGGGTGAGCACAGGCAAAGTGGAAGGTCAAAGGGGTCAAATCTAAATTTTTCATTAGTAAAGCCTGAATATTCAGAGTCTTGTATAGCTCCGTGTGACTGGTGCTCTTTAATGTGACCTGGAATGTATCAACATTGGCTACCTTAGGCAGCTCACTGATTGATTTAGCATGTTTAGTTGCATGGTCAAGAAGATACTTTTTGAATTCTTTTTTACTTGTTGGAGAAGACATTTTTATTTCTTTAGCCGGCTTGCTCCCAATTCCACAACAGCACCATCTGCTGACCACTTTGGCGCATCCATTGGCTTTATAACCACACATCGTCCTGCTGTTAAAACTGGTCTGTATTCACATGTTATGTCATTTCTGTCCTGCAGACTTTGTCTCTCTTCCCTCCCCGGATACTGAAGATATTGGAGTTTGCTGGCTTCTCAGGGGACAAGGTTGGTTGTATATGTAGATGCTAAATCATAATAATACTAAATATACTGTGTGTAGGTGTGTCTATATGTGTGTGTATGTAATATATATATATATATAAAAAAAATATATAATATCCAATGGAAGGTTCTGACCTATTTGCTTGGCTAAATCCACGTGGTGACTTTTTTTTTGCCAGGCAGTGTATCTAAACACATATATAATATATGGAAGCTTACCAATCCTTAGATGTGGTGCAGGTTTAAATACAAGTATATAGATACAAGCCTTCAGGATGCTTTAGATGTCTTCCTTGGGTTGTATATAATAAAGCTTGAAGAATGAATATATGGCTTCCAGAAAGCTTGCATCTTTAATAACTTAAGTGGGAAAATAAACTCCAAACATTGTGAATAAATGTCTAACACGGTACAATACTACTACCATATACTCGCTTGTTGGCTGAGAATCCTTTTAGCCGTTTCAGCCTTTTGTAGAGTAGATATTGGGGCATTTATCACCCCAAATTGTATTTACGCTTGTTGGAGCTTTTGGTAATAAGTTTTCACGTCTCCAGTTTGTTGCTGTGATTTTGCTCCTCAGGAATACGGGTTGAGCCAGCTCCATGAAGGGTCTGCATCCTATAACCTGCGCTCCTTGCTGTGTGCTATGCTGCTACTCTGCTACTACACCTTCCTGAGCTTCATCCTAGGTGAGACATGCCACCACCATATGGGGATAAGGGGCCAATATGTGCCGGTATATACCGTGCAGGGGAGGCACACGCACTTGTATTTTCACAAATGTATCACTAGCACACCAGTAATTCTTCATCCGAGGTGAGATGTGCTACCATCGTATGGGGATAAGGGGCCAACCTCTGCTGGTATATACTGTGCAGGGGAAGCAGACATAATAGTATTTTGAAACTTAATCCTCCTGTCCCATCGCACTCAAAAACCCAAATCCAACTGGGTGGGTGCTGTGGTGACAACGGATGCCTCTGTGAAATGTAGATAGATGAAAGTAGTCACTCGCACTCCATGATATTAAAGTCAATGCTGTTTATTGACTGAGATAACACACATCTCCTTAGCAAGAAGATGTGTGTTATCTCAGTAAATAAACAGCATTGACTTTAATATCATGGAGTGCGAGTGACTACTTTCATCTATAATAGTATTTTGTTCTCCTGCTGTTTTGAAGGTTTTATTGTTTTTTGGAATTTTGGTTTGCCTGTTATCATAGTAGTGTTGGGAGATTAGGTTTTCCTGTTATCATAGTAGTGTTGGGAGATTAGGTTTTCCTGTTATCATAGTAGTGTTGGGAGATTAGGTTTTCCTGTTAATAAATAAACAGCATTGACTTTAATATCATGGAGTGCGAGTGACTACTTTCATCTATAATAGTATTTTGTTCTCCTGCTGTTTTGAAGGTTTTATTGTTTTTTGGAATTTTGGTTTGCCTGTTATCATAGTAGTGTTGGGAGATTAGGTTTTCCTGTTATCATAGTAGTGTTGGGAGATTAGGTTTTCCTGTTATCATGGTAGTGTTGGGAGATTAGGTTTTCCTGTTATCATGGTAGTGTTGGGAGATTAGGTTTGCTTATTTTTCATGGTAGTGTTGGGAGATTAGGTTTGCTTATTTTTCATGGTAGTGTTGGGAGATTAGGTTTGCTTATTTTAATGGTAGTGTTGGGAGATTAGGTTTGCTTATCTTTCATGGTAGTGTTGGGAGATTAGGTTTGCTTATTTTTCATGGTAGTGTTGGGAGATTAGGTTTGCTTATTTTAATGGTAGTGTTGGGAGATTAGGTTTGCTTATCTTTCATGGTAGTGTTGGGAGATTAGGTTTGCTTATTTTTCATGGTAGTGTTGGGAGATTAGGTTTTCGTGTTATTCAGCAGCTCAGAGCTTTATGAAACCATGCACATCAGGAAGGGATCAACAGTTCATACTTCTGAATGTAGATTGCGGCATGAGCATGTGTATTTATCTCGGCTGACCATGTGTACCTATGCAGCAATTAGAGACCCACTAAAACTGGCCTTCGACAGAAGACTCAAGCTAGACAGAGTCTTCCCACATGAAGGGGGATGTCCATGTAGGACTTGTAGTGTTCAGACATAGTTGTTTTCCAAAATGGCCATCATTGGCCTGATCAGTCAATACTCATCTCATCTCTGCTTATTTACATGACATTAAACTTACCAATAAACTAACCTTAGAACTTACATAATGTAGATGGGGCTTAGAGATACAAGAGAAGGGTCTTCAATAGCTTAGGAGGTAGGTCTTCATAGCCTTCAAAAATACACTAAGACCTTCAAAAATGTAGGGAATCAACTTTCTCACCTTCCCTCCACCTTGGTAGCATTACATTTTCTCCAGAACTACAGGTGCACTTTAGTAGTATTGTGTTGATATGAAAGATGTTCCAAAGAGAGGAGATCTAATATCTGTAGACCAGACTCTAATAATCCATTTTTGTACTTGTCCCATCTACATCACATCATAGTCCAATCCATCTGAGAACTTTACACTGTGTTTACTCCACACCGCACCTACATTTTCCAAGTCATTGCTAAAATGCAGGCTGCAGTGTCCTACATAGCTGCAAAGAACACTCTGTGGTAGGAGGATAGGCCGGTCATGTTGGAGTCCAGGCTGTCCTACTTTACTCTTTTGCACACTTAAAATGAATGGGGGATTCAACTGCTTTGGGACTCCTAAAAGAGCAAAGCAGAGGGCATCAGTACCAGGGTTATTTCTTCTTAAAGCAGTGGTATGTTAACAGTATGGTCATACCATCAGTAACCCTTAGACACCCAAATCAGCTGCAGGACCGGGATTCATTGCCCTATGCATACAGTCTAGAGCAAGAAAACACATAAACCAATGGTCACTTTGCTATGAAGAACACAGTAAGATTTGTACCTCCTCTGTGTCATGTCTACAGGGACTGGAGAGGAAGACACCACAGAAGCCGATTCTCTTCTTCAGCCTTACCTCAGCCAGTACCCCAAGGTGAGCGGATTGCCTCGTATATATGTCAGACCTGCACTAAGTGAGGTTGGTGCACTGGAGCAGAATATGTGCAGAAACTTGAGAGAATGTATACTGAAGACTAACATGAGCATTCTGCTAAACTGGGGGTAAAGTGTCTGAGCAATCAGCAAGCTGACTCCTTCCATCATTTTTAAACCTGAACAAGGAAAATCACACCTGGAATCTAAATTATTTGTATGAGCAACACTTTCCTCCAGAGTAGTGCTGATGGAGGAGTAGAAGGTATGAATGTGATTCAGCCTTCGTTGATTGACCACTGTGTCTTTCTACAACCGTTATTCCCTTATAGTGGCTGCAACATAATAGTTTTGCTATCTTTGATTAAAACAACTTGATATGGTTGTGTGGATTATATCTACTGGCAATTTGATAGAAGGAAGATGTCTGTAGATGCAGGGCCATGAAACAAATGGTGACCACTGGAAGTATTGCAGAAGGACCAGTAAAAATAGTCTGGCAACAGTATTTATTCATTCTGAACATCATTCCCTTGTAGCCCCCTGGCTGCTTTCCCTTGTCTCCCCCCAATCTTCATTCCCTTGTTGTTCCCTAGCTGCTTTCCCTTGTCTCCCCCCAATCTTCCTTCCCTTGTTGTTCCCTAGCTGCTTTCCCTTGTCACCCCCCCCCTCTTC